ATTATAATTACCATTAGTTAATGTAAATTGAAATTTTCAATTTATTTTTTTCAATTCATTGAATTGAATTTTCAATTACCATTTACATTCAAATTGATAAATGAATTGAAATTTATTTCAATTGCGTGAAGTTGCAGAGATTGATGCCTTATGCGGCATTTGTGCATAGCTAATGTCAAAAGTGAGGTTAATATTTGAATGCGCACATTCAACAATAACGGTTGCTCGTTGCTGTGTCAATAAGTTTAAAAGAAATCGCAGCAATGAAAACAGTTTCAAATTTTAATTTTTTTAATTTGTATATTAATATTAAATTTTAAATATATATACATTTTAATTTACATTCAAAATGTTATTATAAATGAATTGACGGTAAAAAATTGAAAACAATCGAGAGTAGTGATATGGGAGCCAACTAGAATCTCTGCAACTTCACGCAATTGAAATGAATTTCAATTCATTTCTCAATTTGAATGTAAATGGTAATTGAAAATTCAATTTAATGAATTGAAAAAAATAAATTGAAAATTTCAATTTACATTAACTAATGGTAATTGATTTTCAAATAAATGAATTGAAAAAACTAATCATTATTTCAAACTCTGAACGATATTTTTAAAATTTTTATGGCTGATAATAATTGTACCTAAAATGTACCTTTCAAAAAAGGTTGGTATACAGAGTATATATTTCAAAATTCTTAGAGATGTTCCCATAATACAAAATATGAACAGGGAAATTGATCAAAGGACAAACTTGACGGTAAGTACACTTTGTTATTATAAAAGTAATTGTACCATACGAAATATAATTGAACCATGCTAATTTCGAATTGTACCTCACTGAAACTAATTGTACCATGGTATTTTCGAATTGTACCTCACTGAATCTAATTGTACCATGCTAATTTCGAATTGTACCATGGTATTTTCGAATTGTACCTCACTGAATCTAATTGTACCATGGTAATTTCGAATTGTACCTCACTGAAACTAATTGTACCATGGTATTTTCGAATTGTACCTCACTGAAACTAATTGTACCATGGTATTTTCGAATTGTACCTCACTGAATCTAATTATACCATGGTAATTTCGAATTGTACCTCACTGAAACTAATTGTACCATGGTATTTTCGAATTGTACCTCACTGAATCTAATTGTACCATGGTAATTTCGAATTGTACCATGGTATTTTCGAATTGTAACTCACTGAATCTAATTGTACCATGCTAATTTCGAATTGTACC